CTGTACCGATTTTTCATCTCGAGACCTACAAGAGCTACAGGGCTGAAACTTTGGGAACTTAATCTAAATGCACGCGCGGGCCACCATCCCCAAAATGGGCGGTCTTACCCGCGTGGTACCCACGTAAGAGCCCGCCAAAGTTTTTTACCGGTAAGCTGCTAACTCGCGAACCATAAAAGCTAGACAGCTGGAATTTTAAGGGGATGTTCCTCGTCCAAGTAAGTATAAATGAGCTCAAACCAAGTGTGGTATCAGCGTACGGACCCGCCAGAGTTTTTTTTGGCTTTAATAACTCGGAAATTTGAAAAGCTAAGGGACTGTAATTTTAAATCTCATTGAACTCAAACCCAGACTCCCGGTACGCGCGGTAACCACATAAGGGCCCACCAAATTTTTTTCAGGTAAGTTGCTAACTCAGCAGCCAGGAAAGCTAGAAAGCTAAAATTTTTAAGGAGGTGTTTCCTGACAGTTCTGAAGGCCAGTCTTAATTTGTTCAGCTAGAAGCATTACGGAAGAAACCGGTGCCGATAGCGATAAAAACTGTGGGGAACTGTGCAAAAAACGCATCTTCGTACGGGCAACCCGTGCTTAGGCCAGTTAAGTTTTCGCAAATGTTTAACTCTTTTGCAACATCTAAAATTAGATTAGTTTTCAGAATGAATTCAATATATCGAATGCAAATTATTACTCTGTTCGAGTAGTAAATTCATCGGCCACTGTTTTGTCGAAATTTCAACCCTGGTCAACGGATGTGATTGGCTCCGGTGGCAACACAACATCCATAGTGATTGGACCGCGAACAAGCCGGGAACGAACGCTTCATTTCAACAATACTGTGACATTACAGGGCGGTGTTGCGTGAGTTTTAAAAGCACTGCTTTCCTTGTTTGCTTTTCAAAGGATTTTTTAAAAATTTCCTTTTCTGAGCTCTATTACTGTGGTATTTTATCTCTGACCACGTGTTTTAGGGGTTTTCTTTGCAGTGAGTACTGTCAAGCGCCGTTTTCACGGCTTACTTCGCTCTATGTGAACATGCAGTTTGATATATCGGTGACATTGGAATATTTGAATCATCACGAGCAGGCAACTCTTTCCGTTGTTCAGCAGGTGTGCTGTGTCCCGTCAGGTAATTGTACTGCCACTGAATGGCCGTGATTGCCACTTCGACAGTTCTGATTCAGCTGCTTCAGACGTACTCCAGCGATCGCCAGTCAATGCCAAGTAAATTTAATTTTATCTCAGAGACGAGGATTTGTACCGGTGCTTAAGCAGTCGGACCCTTAATTTCATATATCAAACGTAAGCCTACCATTTGACCTCATGAATGCGTAATGCCGCCAACGTGCTTTCAGCAGAAGATGTAGGAGAATTTTTTGTGGTTTAGGTAGGCCCTGTTGTTTAGCGAATGAATGTTAATCAGCAAGGTTTTGAGGGATTCGGGGTCCGTCGTTAGTACTGTCGCTTACACGCGGGGCGCAGCTATGCCAGGTCCTTCAGCCCCAGGTTGCGCTAGTACCTACCGCCATTCCTTCAGGGTTACCGCCGCTGTAGCCGTATTTCTTTCCGTGAAACCATCCGGTGATGTATTTATTTGCGCGATTGTGATCCTTTGTGAAATTAATGTAGAATGTGTAATATTATTTGTGCATATGTTTGTTTGCGTGATCACAGATCAGAAACAAACGACTCTTCCCTTCCCAGCTTCTCATCTTCGCTGTCTATTACGCGTGTAAAAACTACTTATATATGCAATACTGTATCGTATGACACCTCTCTGAACAGATAAAAGTACCTTAGCTAATTATGTTTTAATCCCCAGGTTGTTTGAACAAGCACTCAGTGAAGTACAGTCGTATAGTTTGTGCCCATCGTTTACTATTTAACTCAGATACTGTGGAGAGGTTGATGTGCAACGAACTTAGAAATTCGTCGGGACAATGAGCGACGGAAGTTTCATTCAAACATGGTGGTTAGGGGGCTGTACTGATGATTCCCGCCCCTAATCACGTCTCCTGCTGTCTGTGTTTACAGCTTAGGAATGAAACACAGGCAAGCTGTTTCCACATATATCATTTTACACTTCCGCATTACATGACACACAGTTTTTTGGTACATGTTCAACACCACTATCTTCTTACCTTATTATATTTCCCTCCCCCTTCCAATTTAATAAAACGGTTACAGGATTTTGGATCGACTCTGTCGTATGAACGGCCTATTCAGAGTCGTCTAGCACCGGTTAAGCCCTTAGTTTTCCTAATTCCTTCCGCCCACTGGGCCCAAACGGCCTGTGGGGTCTTTTACTTTCACACTGAATAGATTTTGGTTATACTACCTTAGATTACCGGAAATGTTCTGTGACAGTTGTGCTGATAAAATATGAGAGCACCAAAAATAATATTTATTAAAAAACGAAGATGATTTCTTTCACGAGTTTTATTCACTCCCTTATTCCATACTTTATTTAGAGTTGGATGTACTGGGGAATGGTCACTAAATGCTACTGCCTCATTATCCACTGGTGGGGTTCACCCGAGTACTGCACAGAAAGTACCCCAGCCAACGCTGATTTACTGGTGTGTTGATTTGTCACCAAATTATACAGTTCCAATCACACCACGGTGCCAAGGGCCCGAAAGTACATGTCGTCTACAGTCGCATGATGTACGCCGTCATCAAACTTGAATGAGTGGATGCGCCCTATCCAGTTACTTACCAGGATAGGCATCGCATCTGCGCTTGGCGTCAAAATCCATGGAATATTAGGATAGGGGATAAGGGACCAATCGAAATATAGTATAGTAAAAATTTTCATGAGTTCGAGTACTTGCTTGTATGGTGAATCGATGTGTGGCATGGTGTGTTAATTTCTGGGAAAATTGGATAACCAAATACGTTTATATCTTACTTGAAATGGGGCATGCAAATGGTATAATACACTATGTGGCCCTTAGGGCCTGAAACGGATGGCTTACCGAGGCAAGGGATGTCAGACACTAATTTCACTGACCGAGCATATGGCAGAGATTTAGCAGCGACTCCCGAGATGTCGGTTGATTGTTGATTTCGAAGCGAAGGAGATAAGGTCACGGTAGTGAGCAACAATGGATTTCATGGGAAGTGAGTATGCCGAGATGTCGTTGGCGGTAATTGAAGTTGTTAATCCATGACGAAAGCTAATGCCATGATAAGAATGGATGGTTTATAAAGGGGCTAAGGTCCGCCCCATAAGATAATGTAACGGTTTTGGAGGATTCTGGAATATAGCGATAAGGGTAATATAAGGGAAAAGAGTAGGGGGGTTAAAAAAAAAAGATAAGGAAATAAATGAAAACGGGAAAGGTTTTTGTGGGCAGAAAAAAAAAGTAGGGAAAAGTGGTAAAAGAAAAGGAGCGTGACTGCATTCCTGAATCATAGGCTAGAAGCATGGAACAAATATAATTTTATAATTAAAACCACATATTTTCACGATATTATGTACAAGAAGGCGTGCTAGAATGTGACCTGCGTTTCATCCCTTAGCTGTAAACGCATATCGAACGCAGCGTGCGGGTAGAAGCAGGAATCATCAGTACAGCCTTTTACCAGCGCCACGTGTACGGTGAGGAAAAATCCAATTCGAGGGAAATTCGTGTAGTCAGGATGACTGGAGTCATGTAGCAATTTGGCGGCAACTACTAGGAATTTTACCAGAAAAATGCAAAATTCACCTACGTCTCAGCGAACGATTTGGTGAGAGAAGACGAGTCCTGAAGGTCCCTTTTAAGACTTAAATGCTTTTTTTGCGTGAATTGTCAATGTTCCTGTTAATTTTTTTTTATATCATACATACAGTCATAATGTTTGCACACAATCGCAAAAAGAGCTTACAAGTCACAAATAATTTATGCACTTTTCAAAATGACTATAAAAAAAAAAAAACGAAATTAAACATCACAGAA